TTAACACGTTCCTCTTAGCCACTGGGGAAACATGGGATCTACTATTATATGGAATGAAACAGCAACTTTGAACAGAAGTCTAAGATAGGCAGCAAAAGAGGAGGGGGAAGGAGGCAATCCTGTTGCTCCACTGCCCAGAGCTGCTGCTGAGTGGCGCTGAGGGCACATGGTTCTTCATTGTGTCTCACTGCTCTTGCTGGCACTGCTAACTTTTTCTCAGTCAATTTGATAGGGTGACCAGGAAATTGACAAGCTGGAGACTGAATGACTGTATTATTAGCAAGTGGGAAGGGGCATAGGGCAGGGGTGAAATTCAGCAGGTTCTGACAGGTTCTGGAGAACCGGAAGTGGAAATTTTGAGCAGTTCGGAGAACCGGTAAGGGAAATTCTGAGTAGTTTGGGGAACCGGCAAATACCACCTCTGGCTGCCCCCAGAGTGGGGCGGGAATGGAGATTTTCCAATATCCTTCCCCTAGGAGTGGGGAGGGAATGGGAATTTTGCAGTATCCTTCCCCTGCCATGCCCACCAAGCCATGCCCACAGAACCGGTAGTAAAAAAAATTGGATTTCACCACTGGCATATAGGAGGAACTGGCAGGTCCTTCTACTGCCTCAAGTTGTAGATCCCCTGCAGGTTAGGCAACTCGGTGTCCCCATTCAGGTTTTAGAAGCAGTACACCTTCCAACAATCTTGTCACTTGCTAAGATGGTAGGACTGACAGGGACTGTCCTTGTGAGGGTCCCATCAGAAGCCAGTTTGGAGTAGGAGAAGAAGGAGCTGGAACCGACACCATACGAGTGGGATGGCATGTCACCCCAGGAAAGTCTGGAGAGCCCAGGGCTGGAGGATAACACCATCCCAGGGCCAACTGGCATTGGGAGCAGAGGTCAACCAAACAGGGAGCCATTTGTCCCAATGAAAGCAGGGGAGGATCAGTTGCCAACCATCAGCAGCAATGAAAGGCTACAGATCCCCTCTGAAGAGGAACAACTGGCCGTCCTACCTGATCTGTGGGTGTGGAGTGTGGAGCAGAAGAAAGGATAGAGGTGGTCTGTGAGGCTGCTCGTAAGGAAGCAGTCCCAGCCCTCCTCACAATGAACATCTGGCTTAGGGTGATTTAGCCATATGCTGGGGGAAGGTGAATTGCTGGGAACAAGTTTGCTTTGGTGCACACTTCCCTGGCTCTCATGGACTTCTGACCATGTTTTGACTTTGTGGACTTTGAACCTTGTTTGTGAACTTTGGACTTTCTCCTCGTCTTATGGATCGGCTCTGATTTGTGGGACTGGGTTGCATTGACTGTAGGTGGTTGCCTTGGAGGAAAATTGAGGTGAAATTTTACTGGTACTGTCGGAGAGCCACCTATTCAGTAGCTGGGCAATAAACAGACTTTGTTGATACCTACACTTGCCAATGGGTCAGAAGAACTCTTCAAAATTTATCAGGTATCAGGTTGCCTATCCTAGGCTTGCTCCTTCATACACTTTTGGCACCCATATAGCAGAAATTGTGGCTCTGCATCACATCTATGTATGCACCTGAGAAGTCGATTCCCTAGTTCAGTTTCTGAAAAATATAGGATAGTTCCAGTAACTGTGGCCCTAACCTCATATGATACTAAATACATATCAGAATTTATAATACTAGCATTTTTGAAGGAAACTGCAGGATGAAACAGTTCCTTGCAGGAAAACTCAAAGGTAGCAGGGAAGATACCGCCTGGAACCTTCTCCAGGCACTGCCTATCCATCTTTCTCCAACAATTCAGAGCTGTGGTGGCATAGTGGTCAGAATGCAATATTGTAGGCTAACTCTGCCCACTGCCAACAGTTTGATCCTGACTGGCTCAAGGTTGACTCAGCCTTCCATCCTTCCGAGTTGATAAAATGAGGACCCAGACTGTTGGAGACAATATGCTGACTCTGTAAACTGCTTAAAGAGGGCTGTAAAGTACTATGAACCAGTATATAAGGCTAAGTTCTATTGCTATTTCTGGAGGAGGAGTTAACCAGGGAAGAATGCAGCGGCAGCAGTTGCAAATATTTCTTCTCAAGTGCATTCTCTCTGGGCACTGCGGTGAATCTGGCCGCAGATGTTGCCAAGAGAGTGTGCGAGCAACTGTGTCCATTCATTTGTTCTGTTGAACTGGATGACGTAGCCTTTTCATTCTCCCACTCACTCATCTGAGATCTCCCTCCAGCTACCATAGTAATGGTGATTCTATCCAATTAATCTAATAGCCTCCACCATGCCATCCAGAAAAAAAAGGGGGTAAGTGAGAGAGGCAGCAATTGCTCCACCACATTTTCATGATTACTCAGCCTTTCTCTTCTCCTGGCAGCCAAAACTGAGCAAGTGATTGCAAAGAGTCTCTGTAATTGCTCACCTGCCTACTCCAATTGCTACCTGCTTGCTTCAATCGCTGATTTCCTCACTTTGACCAATGCAGCAGGAAAGATTGGTGGGCATCCAGCAGGAAAAAGAGGGGGAGCCAAAGGAAGTGGTGGCTTAAGTAGAGGCCCACCTTGAAAAAAATCATCCACGAACAATGAAACATTTTTTATGTATCTAGTTGGAAAACGTTGGCTTACTCTCTGTAGAGTCTTGGATAATCTTATCTTCCTTAGCTTATCTATACTTTCTTTTAGTAATGTTGCCCACTTTATACCGCAGGAATGTGGGCCTGCACGTGTACATGCCCGCACATGTAAACTCAGATCACAATTTGAGTCAGAGGATGTTAGGTTTTACCCGTGATATCTGTTCTCATTGTAAATGTTCATATTCAGGAAATACAACATTTGGTAGTTTCAGCTAAGCTCCAAATTGTTCTCTGTTGTTTTGAAGTACAGGACACAGAATAATCTGTTTAAGTTACAGAAAGGCAGTGTCTACCTGAAAGTGTGAAAAACTTCCTAACAATACAATCAGTACATCAAAGGAACCAATGACTGCTAAACAAGCATGTCAAAGATGTTTAATTTGGACTCCTGTACTTAGCTGGGGAATGGACTTGATGGTCCTCTAAGACTTTGCAACTCTCTCTCTCTCTCTCTCAAATATAAGGTGTAGAGAAGGCTATCAGTGGGATGCATAAAAGCCCATAAAAGCCTTTTATGTTCATAATAACCTTGTAGATTCTCTAAGGCAGGGGTCCCCACCCTATGGACTGCAGCCCACTACCGGCAGAGGTAGGATTCAGCCAGTTCAAACCGGTTCGGGCAAACCAGTTGTTAAAATTCAGTGCAGTTTGGTGAACCACCTAATCCCACCACTGGCTGGCCCCGCCCCAACTCTTACAGCCACTCCTTTTCTCGCCTCATCTGCTTTGGCTGCTTGCTTGCCTTGCTCATTTTTTTGGGCCGTTTTTCCCCCACAGGCCCCATCTCGCCTTGCCCACCCCTGCTAACAACTCCGGGCTGGGCAGCGGATTGGCTTTCCTGGCTGGATGCACCCCTCAATCCCCGCCTGCCCTTCCCTTTCTGCCGCAGCTGGTGGCAGAGAGGAAGATGAGTCAAGTTGATCTGCTGCTGCTTGGCCCCCTACCCCAGCCTGCATCTTGCCCCTGCCCGGACTCACCTGCCACGGCTGCGAGCAGAGGGGGGTGGCCAGGGGCTGCAAGATTGCGCCGCCTGGATCATCCCTCTCCCACCCTCCCGCCTGGTCAAATTGTGTGAGTGCCTGGCCTCCCAGCCGCCCCCCACCCTCTGGAATGGCAGCGGCAGAGAACACAGGATCGTCTGGAAGCTAGGAGGGAAAGGAAGAAGGGGGCGGTTGCTAGCAGAGAGGGGAGAGTGCGAGGTTGTTGCTTCTGGGATGAGGGGAGCCAGGGAACGTCTGGGTCTGGTTCACCCAACCTCTCTTCCTCTTGCAGCTGTGTGTCCTCCAACCAGCATGGATGGCAATTACAGCCTCAACATGTGTTGCCAGGGCTTCTGCTGGTACGCCGAGGACATTGGCTTCATTAAGGTGAGGAGGAGGGTGGCTGTGTAGGCCCCAGCCTTTTGGTTGCCCACTGCCACCGCCGGCTGTTACCCCCTTCGTGGCCCAGAGTTCCCTGGCAACGCCCATGACATCTCCTGGCTCTAATGGTCATGTGCAGGCTAGGGAAGTAAATATGAAAATGTGTGTAATGTTCTAATGTACAGAAGTTATAATTAAATGTATGGCAGAAAGTGGACGCTGGGTGTGTGAGGTTGAATGTGTATAGTTTTAGAAGAGCTCTCTCTGTGTGTGTATAGACATACATACAGTATATATAGTACCTAATGTATCTTTTTGTGTGCCTATACACACTCTATACTATGTAATGTGTGGCACATATGGCATATATACATAGGATTAAATAGTGTATTTTGGATGTTTAGTAGTAGTAAATACAAATAGAGAGGGAAATTGTATCTTATTGAGGCCTTTGAAGTGAGTGGCTGGGAGGCGGGGCTGGATGTGATGAGTGATGTCGAGTTGGCTACGCCCACCCAGTCACATGACCACCTGGCCATGCTCACCCGGCCAGTCATTAGGGCAGAGAAGCGGTTTTTAAATTATTTGAATCCCACCACTGACTACTGGCCCATGGCCTATTTGCAACTGGGCCATGTGAGTGGTGGGCCAGTGCATGCAGACCCATTTGTATGAGTGGTGAGTGCTTGCAGCCTCACAAAACTGTGTGCATGCATGCTTCTCACACAAAATCATCTCCTCTTCCTCTCCTCCCCCGCTCCTCCCCACCCCCGGGCCGCCAACCCAGAAAGATTGGGGAATGCTGCTCTAAGGAACTATAGGTGATAGTAGCAAACATTATCATCTTTTTTTAATAAAAAAATCAATTTATAAATTTCCTTATTCAATTCCTGCTTCTGCTCCTGATTGAGACTGAAGCATCTCCACTTTACACATTAATAAGTTATGCATTTTCCAGGGACACTTTTGCAGTTTAGAAGCTGCATTTCCCTCTTTTGTTCTAGTGCACTATTAGAAATCACATCCAAGTCCGAACCTGTGCATCTTCATATGTGTACCTCCCTGGGTCTTTGACGTTTTGGCTTGTTATTTCATAGCTGTGAGAGTCCAGGTTGATGGCACTCTGGGCCCCGGGAGCGAGGAACTCTTGCCAGATCTCTTCTACTCTGTTCGCTACATCTTGCAGTGGTTGTTTTTTGAGATCCTGGACAGCCAACCAAAACCTGCATTGAGGCAACAAAGAAAGAAAATGTACCCCAGAAAAGTGAGTCAGCTGCACCAGCAAGAATCAGGTTAATTTTAGCCCAATCTTTTTACAGCCAATATTCAACTGATATCCAAATGTCTATGGAGATTCTCAGTCATCCAGTTCATGGTTGTCTCCAAGGTGCTTTTTCAAATGGCAACTGGACTTTCTGCAAGGAGTGAAAATCCTTTCATTCCCCCCCACCATCCAGTCAGAGCTGAAGAAGATTCTTGGATAAGAAGCCGAAATATCTTCAAAGAAAAAAACAGAAAAGTCCAGTTGCCTTTTGAAAAAGCACCTTTGGGACAACTGATATCCAAATAACCATTGCCAGACCCATTAGCATGTTGTAATTTCTGAGTGACTCTGAAAGAAAAATCACATTTTAGAGCCTCTCCATCGTTTTTAGAATCATGTTCTAATTTCTATGAAATTAGAAACAGAAAATAAAGCTATTTTGCAGACAATATACTTTTGATATACTTACTAAGAACAAACTGAAATATAGTCTCCCCACCTCCTCCTTCCAGCAAGCATCTTGTGTCAAATCCCAGAGTAATCAATGAAGAGAAGGAATTCTTTCAGGCATAAAAAGTTCAAATTCAGCCTAATATTTTTAACATTGCTTATGTTGAAGATCACTTGGGTTTAATCCTATGCTATTCTACTTAAGCAAAGGAAGTTTGAAAGGGGAAAAAAAACCTCTTCACCAGAGCAATATCATAGCCAGGGGATTCTGATTGATTGATTGATTGATTGATTATCTGCCATCAAGTTGTCAACTCTCAGTGACCATATAGATTTTTATCCTGATGATCTGTCTCTAAACTGATATTGAAGGCATGTGATGCCAGTCTGCTAGAAGCTGATTTTTGCAGATATCTTACATAATTGGTGTTTTTCGCTGTTTGTTGAATGCATTACTCAGAAAAGTTTTACATTAGATATGACTTTTTTTTGTTCCGGAGGAAATATTTTAAAGGGAGCATGCACAAAGCCATATTGACACCTAGTGGACGTTCACCGCAACTGGTTCTTTTGTCCCATTCATGGCAACTTGCATTTTCTCCTTCTGAACTGGCATTATCTACTTGGATGAGTAGGAGTTAGGCTCAATATCCTTGGCATCCAAGCATGAGTACATCCACCTAATCTTTTTGTCTCTTTCCTCTATCTTGCCATTTCTTTGTGGGTCTGTCTAGTTATTTATGAATTCTTATTACGCCTTTCCTGCCAACTAGATACAAACGTGCTCTATGATAAAACAGAGGATGTATTCACAAAGCAAGTCAGTCAAACATCCAGCCAATGCATTTGCTGCAATGGAAAGCTTGGTTAGTTTCAAGTTTGGTTAGTTTTTTTTTTTTGTGGGGGGGGGCAAAAAGGGTGGGAGAGGTCAGCATTTTGTGAAGACATTCCATTTGGTTAGTTTTGTATAAAAGTAACCACATTGTGTGTCATACAAACCCAGTCAGAGGCATTCTTCTTCTCCAGTAATATTACATTACTAACCAGAGCATACAAAACATTTGCTAGACCAATTCTTGAATACAGCTCATCTGTCTGGAACACGCACTGCATATCGGACATTAATACAATTGAGAGACTCCAGAGATATTTCACAAGAAGAGTCCTCCACTCCTCTGCTCATAACAAAATACCCTATGCCCCCAGACTTGAAATTCTGGGTTTAGAAAATTTAGAACTAAGCTGCCTTTGGTATGACCTAAGCATAGCTCATAAAATCATCTGCTACAATGTCCTACCTGTCAATGACTACTTCAGCTTCAACCACAACAATACACGAGCACACAATAGATACAAACTTAATAGATACAAACGAACCGCTCCAAACTCAATTGCAGAAAATATGACTTCAGTAACAGAGTGGTCAATGCCTGGAATGCACTACCAGACTCTGTGGTCTCATCCCAAACCCCCCAAAACTTTAACCTAAAACTGTTTACTGTTGACCTCACCCCATTCCTAAGATGTCTGTAAGGGGCGGGCATAAGAGCACCAGCGTGCCTACCGTCCTTGTCCTAATGTTCCCTTGAATTGTACTCATTTTATGTATTAAATTCATGCTTATATTTATATATATTATCTAATATGTACTTGACAAAATAAATAAATAAAAATTACAAGAATATGGTAAATATGGCTATCAGATCTGAGATTCATCACTCGCACAACAACTCTTAGGTGACTATCCATATATATTAAACCAGCAATTGAACTTGGGTAATCTTGGGAGATTTCTACTTTGTATGCATCTCAGGGGCAATGCTTATCCAAAAGTCTTGTCACTTCATTTCATCAGGTGATCCTTTCTTTATTCCTCCAGTAAAACATTAAAGATTTCTCGCTCTCCCATTTAACTATGGACCTCATTTATTGTTGTTAACAATGAGAAAAAAATGTTTTCCAGTCAGCCAGTGATCTAGCTTGGCCTGAGTTTTCTTCACTAGAAAAACATGAAGTGTCTATATGCTACCACTTCCTGTTCTTAACAATCTCTCAAACCAGCATTAAAACTATTGGTCGAAAGTTTAGGCGGGGCTGCTACCATAGCCTTTTAAAAACAGCCCATAGTTTTAACTGTCCAGTTCTCTCCCTTCTCCTTCATGGCCATGGCAACCAGGAAGCAAGAGCCCGCAGAATGGGCTACTCAAGTTAAGAAACAGGTCAGGAGCCTGAGTGGCGTAGGAGGCTAATGCCTCCTACTAAGGCAGCATTTAACATCCAGCTGCCTGCAATTACTGCGAGTTCAATTCTCACCAGGCTCAAGGTTGACTCAGCCTTCCATCCTTTCTAAGGTGGGTAAAATGAGGACCCGGTTTGTGGGGGCAATAAGATGACTTTGTATAAAATATACAAAAGTATGAAGGCTATTGCTTAAGGCACTGTAAGCCGCCCTGAGTCTCCGGAGAATGGCGGCATATAATAATAAATAAATAAAATAAATAAATAATGGTGGTGGTCAATGATGAGGCATCTCACTTTAGAGATCCAGTTATTTTATATTGTTTATTTTGTATATTGTACAAAAACTTGAAACCAGCAGACAACCCATCCAGTGGTGGGATTAATTTTTTTTACTGCTGGTTCTGTGGGTGTGGCTTGGTTGGCGTGACATGGCATGGCTTGGTGGGCGTGGCAGGGGAAGGATACTGTAAAATCTCCATTCCCTCCCCACTCCAGGGAAAGGTTACTGCAAAATCCCCATTTCCTCCCGATCAGCTGGGACTCGGAAGGCAGAGAATAGATGGGGAAGGGGCAGTCAGAGGTGATATTTACCGGTTCTCCGAACTACTTAAAATTTCCACTACCGGTTCTCCAGAACTGATCAGAACCTGCTGAATCCCACCTCTGAACCCATCCCCTAACCAGCTTAAATATACTTTTGCAGGAATCTCTCCATAGACTGCAACATAGGAATGTAATTGGCAAACATTTGTAAAAAAAAAAACCTGGAAGGTTCTGGAACAAACTACTGTATGTAAGAGCTTTTCTTGGCAGCATACAGAGAATGAAATACAGAGAACATGGGCACAGCCTGGCATGGTATCAGATAAAGTGATTAGTGTAGCCTGCCTTAACTGGGTTTTTTTCGTCCCCAGGCAGCCATTCTGACTAGGAATTCTGGGAACTGTAGTTAAATACAACTGAGGGCACCAGGTTAAGGAAAGGAGTCTTAGTAGCCAGAACAAAGTTGTGCTGTTATTACAATGGCTAAAATATCAACCTGAGTTAGCCAGGAGAAAACCACAAAGCCATCTCAGGGACATATGTGATATAACATAAACCAGAGACAACAAAGTCTGCTGGACTGGAGGATCACAGGAACCAAAACAAAATAGATCCAGTTGTGCTTCAAAACTTAATAAGGAGAATATAAATGCCATTTCAAGTGTTCCATGGGGAAAATATGAGTGTTAAATGACAATATTTGTAGTTTACTCGCTGTTTGTTGTTCAATGTCATGCTGCCTGTCTCTGACAGTGATTTTCACAGTAGGAGATGTGGCGCATATCTGCCATCTGTTTTAATATATATGAAGCCACTGATTGGCCTCTGTGGTGCATTTCCTTCATATGCACCACCCAAATGGAATGGTTGAGAAAAGCACTGCTTTCTGAGAACACTCCTCAACAGGTCTGAAAGTGTGAAAAATGTTTTTTTTAAAAAACAAACAAACAAACAAACTCTGAAATAATCCCGACTAGCACCTTCACAAGAGTACTAAGAAACTTTGTACACCTAGAAGTGCCCTCGTTTTAATTCTTGTTTGGGGCCAGGGGTACCAAAGAAGGGGAAGAAAAAGAACAAAGCATTTGTGAAATCCTCTTCAAATGAACAGAAGGAGCTGCATTTTCTGCTGTGCTAATCCCTCCCTTGAATGATTTCTACCCTTTTGAAAGCAATATCTAAATATTTAGAATGGAGGACTTGTTTCCATTTCTGCCTTCCCAAGTGAACAGATTCACCAAGGTTCAAATTCTATGCCTTCTACCAGTGGTGAAATCCAAATTTTTTTACTACCAGTTCTGTGGGCGTGGCTTGGTGGGCATGGCAGGAGAAGAATATTGCAAAATCTCCATTCCCACCCCACTCCAGGGGAAGGATATTGCAAAATCTCCATTCCCACCCCACTCCAGGAGAAGGATATTGCAAAATCTACATTCCCACCCCACTCTGGGGCCACCCAGAGGTGGTATTTGCCAGTTCTCTGAACTACTAAAAATTTCTGCTACCAGTTCTCCGAACTGCTCATAATTTCTGCTACTGGTTCTCAAGAACCTGTCAGAACCTGCTGGATTTCACCCCTGTCTTCTACCTTCACAGAATGGGCTGGCCTCAGCCCAAAGTAAGCTTGTTTAAAATTTTCATTGTTTTCCATGGGTGAATTATGGCTGAATTTATGGAACACAGAAATGCTTATTAGCCATCTTAGTTTCACATTGACTTCACAGA